AGGTGGGACTAGAACTCCCCGTCTCCTGGTGATTGGCCCAAAGTCACCCTGCTGGCTTTCATGTCTCAGGTGGGACTAGAACTCCCCGTCTCCTGGTGATTGGCCCAAAGTCACCCTGCTGGCTTTCATGCCTCAGGCGGGACTAGAACTCCCCGTCTCCTGGTGATTGGCCCAAAGTCACCCAGCTGGCTTTCATGCCTCAGGCGGGACTAGAACTCCCCGTCTCCTGGTGATTGGCCCAAAGTCACCCAGCTGGCTTTCATGCCTCAGGCGGGACTAGAACTCCCCGTCTCCTGGTGATTGGCCCAAAGTCACCCTGCTGGCTTTCATGCCTCAGGCGGGACTAGAACTCCCCGTCTCCTGGTGATTGGCCCAAAGTCACCCAGCTGGCTTCCATGTCTAAGGTGGGACTAGAACTCCCCGTCTCCTGGTGATTGGCCCAAAGTCACCCAGCTGGCTTTCATGTCTAAGGTGGGACTAGAACTCGCTGTGGCCCAAAGTCACTTGGGCAGTTTTCATTCCTAAAGCAGGACTAGAACTCACCATCTCCTGTTGAATCGCCCAAAATCATTCAGCTGGTTTTCATGCCTAGGGCAGGACTAGAACTTACCATCTCCTGGTTGATTGTCACAAAGTCACCCAGCCGGCTTTCATGCCTAAAATGGGATTAGAATTCAAGATCTGGCGATTGGCCGAAGGTGACCCTGCCCCATTCATGCCTAGAACTGATCGTCTCCCCTTTTCTACTCCTGGAGCCTTAGCCACTAGACCAGACTGCCTCAAAGTTGCTGAAAGAATAGTTGGGAAGTTGGAATTTCTCCAGCCATCTAAATTCTGTTTCTGCCAATGTCCACCACGTCTCCAAACCTGTCAGCCTAAAGTTATATTCAATAATAAATTTAGTGCAGTGGTTCTCCACCTGTGGATCAGGACCCCATTTGGGGTCAAACGACCATTTCACGGGGGTCGCCAAACAACGCAGTCTGCCATTTTTTTCCCGTTTTCCTTAGCTGTGCTCCTCCCTTTTATTCTATTGGCTTTTGAAAGCCAATAGAATAGACTCTCTTGAATAGAGTCTAATTCTATTGGCTTTCCAAAGCCAATAGGAATTGTCCAGGCTGTCTCTGCCCTGCTGAGCCCGCCAAAAGTCCCAGTCTGCAAATGGTGCTGCACCCGTTGAGTAGTCCTCGACTTACGATCGGTTGAGTAGTCCTCGACTTACGACCGGTCAGGGGTCGTGGCATTAAAAATTTGAGAACCACTGATTTAGTGGGTGATATTCAAGAGGCTGCCACAAAGAAGAGGGGGGGGGGTTTTCAATTTATTCTCCAAAGCCCCTAAAGTCAGGACAAGAAGCCACGGATGGAAACTAACCAAGGAGAGAAGCAACCTGGAACTAAGGAGAAACTTCCTGACAGTGAGAACAATTAATCAGTGGAACATCTTGCCTCCAGAAGTTTCATTAGAAGTTAAGAAGAGATTAGACAGTCATTTGTCTGAAATGGTATAGGGTCTCCTGCTTGAGCAAGGGGTTGGACTAGATGACCTCCAAGGCCCCTTCTGACACTTATTCTGTTATACTTTCATCTCTGTGAGAGGTGGCAGCAATGAAAGAAGAGATGCTATAATATGCTTAGTTCCTTCCAATAAGTATATCTGGAGTTGGACAGCCCACACCGGGTAACCCTCAGCCAAACTACAAAATTGTGAAAAATTAATGACCAAGTCTACAAATTAATGGATTTCCGATCCAGCTGCCTTTCTTAATTTTACATAAATACTTTATACTAATGCGAACTCAGTTGCAGCAAGCATACAGCCATCCTTTTCTCCAACGATGTGCAGTAATTTTATTTTTTTTTGGCAATGATAATCACACACACACAAAAAATCACCTGGTCCTACTCATCTCCATCTCACTATTCTGAATTTTTATTTTTTTTAAAAAACCAAAACCTGAGATGAATCCATGGAAAGCTCATATTTACAGTTCCGGCTCAATAAATAACAGAAGGTCCGTCAATGGAAACGAGAAGTCTTTGCACGTTTGATGGATTTTTCTTATATAGAAAAATCATAATCGGTGGAAATGTGAAATACCACTTAAAAAATATGTTCAGATTTCAGATGGTGGCTTGGACGGGTCTGAAATATTTACAAGATGGAAGCCACAGTGGAGAACTATTGACTGAAGATTGGTTGAACATTGAAGTTAGGTGTTCCTCAGCTCCTACATCGAAAACAGGTAGCAAGAGATGGTAGGTTCTCCAAAAATGTCCACATCTGTTGGTTATCTTCTCAATTTTCATCCTTGTTAGCTTTGTGGTGCAACAATGAAGGAGATAGAAACCAACAATGTTGATGTTCTTCAGAGATATATCAACAGAAACCAAAATGATCTACTATGAATGGAGGCTTTCATGGGTAGTATCCATCCAATGATGATGGACTTCTGGATCACAGGACATGATCTTGGATCATGGCAAATCAGCACAGAAGCTAACTACCATTGAAAAATGGTCAATGTTGGTCAGTCAAGGTTTGGAGAAGGATCTTCCAGTGTGTGGCTGCTCAGGATTTTCTGGAATAGTTTGAGAAGGACAAACTATTTTCTTCCTCAGCCTGGATATAGGAAGATTTCATGCCTTATCAAGAAGTGCTGCTTGCAGGCTTGACAACGTGCTGTGTGAACTTTTTCTAACCATCATTTGCAGCTTGGCTATCATCTGTAGGTCCAGACCCAACACCAATCAGAAATATGTTGTGAATTTGGAAAGTCATCTTCACTTCTAGCACCAACAGCTTCTAATTTCTACAACTGAGAAGCTGCTACAATAGTACAGGTAGCCCTCATTCATTTAGTGACCATTTGAAGTTACAGTGGCATTGAAAAAAGGAGACTTACGACCGTTTTCCAAGCACTCCCGGAACAAAATTTGGATGCTTGGCAACTGGCTTGTATTTATGACGGTCGCAATGTCCCGGGGTTACGTGATCCCTTTTTGTAACCTTTCAATGAGCAAAGTCAATGGGGGAAGCTGGACTCACTTAACAACCATGTTATAAACTGAACAACTGGAGTGATTCACTTAACAACTGTGGCAAGAAACCTCATAAAATGTGGAAAAAACTCACTTGTCTTGCTTAGCAATGAAAATTTTGGGCTGAATTGTGGTTATAAGTCACAAGTGGTTACATGATTGGAACCGAGGACAGAATTATGATTGTATGTCATTGCAGACAAGGCATCATATGACAGGACTTGATTTTAGGACATTTTCATTAAGCAAACCTCATAGTTGTTAAGTGAACAACATAGTTTTCAGTGAATATTTTCCCCAATTGGTGGTTTTTTGTTTGTTTGTTTTGCCAAAAGCTGGGAATTAATGCCAGGAATCGGTAAACAACCTCACAAATTGTGGTCATGCAACCCCAGGACACGGCAAATGGCTGTAAAAACGAGCTGGTTGCAAGTACTTAAAATGCAATCACATGACTGGGGGAAGGTGTGTGGGTGTCGTAACTCTGAAAACGGGACTTAAGTAGCTTTGGGAAGTCCATTATAATATCAGAAGTTTGTTAAGCAACTGGTCGTAAGTTGAGGACTACCTGTATTTCAGCACTCGAGGTCCAGGAAGTTTCTGTATAGAAAAAGAAAAGGTCTCCCACTGAAGGAAGATGGTTTTCTGGGTTCTGAAACTCACTAGCAAAAAAGAAGAAGAAAGGAACAGATTCTAAGGGCCTGGGAACACGATCCCATCTCAAAAGTTCCTTTGGGTCTTTTCTTGTGGAATCTGCTGGCAAATGAAATAATTGGGTGAAGTCCTGGGCGCCCTCTGAGGTTGGTGGTTTTCTTGCAGACATTTCATGATCCAACTAGGAGAGGAGGAGGAGGAGGAGGAGAAAGAGGAGGAGGAGGAAGATAAGTGTGGAATCCTTGGTGCTCTCTGAGCTTTGCAATTTTGTTACAGATGTTTCATGACCCAACTAGTCCAGGGCTTTTCAACCAGTGGTACGGGTACCACCTGTGGTACATGGGCACCTGGCAGGTGATACTTGACCATCCTAGAAAAGTGGTAGCGGGGGAGGGAAATGAGCTGAACCGGTGGCAGCACCGCACAAGCCTGAGCGAGAGACGGCTGGAGCTGCAGGGCTGTCAGGGCTCAGTGGAAGCGCTAGGATCAGCACCAGGCTCCAGCTGGAGCTCGACGCTGATCCTGGTGCTTCTGCTGAGCCCTGAAGAAGCACCAATCAGCTGGAAAGCGGCACTGATCCTGGCGCTTCTGCTGAGCCCAGAAGAAGCACCAATCAGCTGGAATGTTGCAGCCTCTCCAGGGTCTTGTGATTTACATTCAGATGCTTGGCAACTGATTCATATTTATTTATTTATGAGACTTATTTATTTATGAGACTTATATACCGCTTTAAGTGCAAGCACTCTCTAAGCGGTGTAGACCAGTAAGCAATGTATATATATATATATTTACATTGCCCCCAACAATCTGGGTCCTCATTTTACCTACCCCGGAAGGATGGAAGGTTGAGTCAACCTTGAGCCGGTGAGATTTGAACCCCTCACCTGCTGAACACAGTCAGCTAAAGTGGCCTGCAGTACTGCACTCTAACTGCTGCGCCACCTTGGCTCATTTATGACGGTCACAGTGTCCCAGAGTCATGTGAAGTGACCAAAACCTGCTGCAACCACCTAGCAGATGGGGGAGGGGGAATAAAAACCAAACACCCCCCCACCCCACCCCTGCTGCCAATCCTCAACCGAAATGCTCACAACAATGAAAACCTCGGACAGGAGGAAGAGCGCCACTGGACGGACAGGCAGGCATCTTGCTCAGCTGTGGCTTGGGGAGCACTTTTTTCAGTGCCATTGTAACTTCGAACAGTCACTAAGCGAACTGTTGTAAATCGAGGACTACCTGTACTTTATCCCTTTTTTCCTTTTGGGGGGGGGTCTTCAAGTTTTTGACACCTTGCTAGGTGACTGGTGGTACTCGGATGTTGCCTTATCCTAAAAGTGGTAGAATGCATGAAAAGGTTGAAAAGCCCTGGACTAGATGACCTCATCAGGGCTAGAAGGGAATGGGGTTTGCAGAAAGGAGAGGGGGAAGAGGGAAATAACGAGGAGGAAGAAGGCCTGTGGGGTCCTTGATGCTCTCTTGAGCTCAGCTGTTTTTTTTGCAGACATTTCACGATCCAAGAAGTAGGCAAGGGCAAGGCCATCTGCCAAACGTTTGTTTTTCACAGCTGGTCTTCCATTTGTTCCTGTCCATTCCAGCCAGGCCAGTAGAAGCTGGCGGGGACGTCTTGCAAAAAACCACAAGCCCTCAAGTCTTCGCCTTCAAAGCTGTGAGCAACGCTCTTCGGTTCCAGAACGGAAAAAGGACGAATCTGTCCAGATTTAACCTTTCTCGTTCTGAGTCTCTGGGTCCCAGAATGTTGTCCCGGTCTGCTTGCAAAAATGGGCTTAAATAGTAATAATAATAATAATAATGCCAAATACTGTTGCCATCGCCTTTCTTTGCATCTTATACGCCAGGCGTGGTTGGCTGGTCAGGCTTCTCACACTAGAGTCTTTTCAGCTTGAAAAGTGGAGCTGCGTTGAGTTTTGGGGCTGCAGGTGGCCAGCATGGAAATCTGGGTGCTAAAGTTGGTGCCGCTGCTTCCGACGGACGGGTGGTGATACTTCATATCCGAACCCAGGAAGTGTTCCAGGTGCCACCTACGCCATTTGCGTTTCATTTCGGCTTGAACCTGAGAGAGGCAGGAGGGGAGAAAGGCACAGGAGAGAAAAACATATTATGAGTACTCCTCCATCAATCAGAATAGGGCTGGAAGGGACTTTGAAGGTCTTCTAGTCCAGTGGTGGCGAACCTATGGCATGCGTGCCAGAGGCGGCACTCAGAGCCCTCTCTGTGGGCACGCGCACCGTTGCCCCAGCAGAGTTCGCCAGAGTAACGAGCACTTGGTGTTTGGAAGCGACAGGGCAGGAAATGAGCGAGCAAGTGGCATTGCCGCCCCCCCCCCAGGGATGCCCTGGAAATAGCAAGGAACTGGCCCTGGCCACGTTCACCCAGTCTGGCGTGACCATTGCAGCCAAGCCCACCCAGTGAGCCATGCCCCCCATGAGGGCACCACAATGCTGATGTGGCCCTGGCACTTTGCAATAAATAAGTGGGTTTTGGGTTGCGGTTTGGGCACTCGGTCTCTAAAACAGTGGTTCTCCACCTGTGGGTCGGGACCCCATTGGGGTCAAACGACCATTTCACGGGGGTCGCCAAACAACGCAGTCCGCCATTTTCCCCCCCCTTTTCCTTAGCTGTGCTCCTCCCTTTTATTCTATTGGCTTTTGAAAGCCAATAGAATAGACTCTCTTGAATAGAGTCTCATTCTATTGGCTTTCCAAAGCCAATAGGAATTGTCCAGGCTGTCTCTGCCCTGCTGAGCCCGCCAAAAGTCCCATTCTGCAAACGGTGCTGCACCAATTGAGTAGTCCTCGACTTATGACCGGTTGGGGGTCGCAGCATTTAAAAGGTTGAGAACCACTGCTCTAAAAGGTTCGCCATCACTGTTCTAGTCCAATCCCCTGCTCAACATGAGCCAGTTGTACTAAGGACCTGAATTTTGCTTAGATGTGATGTGCCGGTGCCTGGAAGATGTGAGGGTCTGGATGGGGGTGAACAGGCTTAGACTCAACCCTGACAAGACCGAGTGGCTCTGGGTCTTGCCTCCCAAAGGACAACTGAATGGTCCATCATTAGTCCTGGGGGGGGGGAAATTTACCTCCCTCAGTGCAGGCACGCAACTTGGGTGTCCTCCTGGACTCACAGCTAAATTTGGAACATCTATCGGCTGTGGCCAGGGGGACCTTTGCCCAGGTTCGCCTGGTGTACCAGTTGTGGCCTTATTTGGACCGGGAGGCTTTACTCACAGTCACTCATGCCCTTGTCACCTCAAGACTGGATTACTGTAACGCGCTCTACATGGGGCTACCCTTGAAGAGCGTTTGGAGGCTGCAGTTGGTTCAGAATGCAGCCGCGAGGGCGATTGTGGGCGCGCCAAGGTAAGCCCACGTGTCACCTATCCTCCGCGAGCTGCACTGGCTTCCTGTGGGTCTCCGGACGCAATTCAAGGTGTTGGTTATCACCTTTAAAGCCCTTCATGGCATAGGATCAGGTTACTTACAGGACCGCATACTGCCGCACAGTTCCCAGAGACCGGTGAGGTCCCACAGATTGGGCCTCCTTCAGGTCCCGTCGGCCAGACAATGTCGGCTGGCGGGGCCTCGGGGAAGGGCCTTTTCTGTGGTGGCTCCAAGCCTGGTGGAATCAACTTCCCCCTGAGGTTCAAACTACTCCCACCCTGCCGGCCTTTAAGAAAGCCGTTAAAACTCTCCTGTTCCGGCAGGCCTGGGGCTGATGTCCCTGGGGGGGGGGGCGGGATATGATCGGACATGCTGTATGAATGTATTTATTTTATTGTTTTATTGTCAGATTATTGTTTTAATTTTGTACGCCGCCCTTAGTCCCTTGGGATTGGGCGGCATATAAATTTTAGAAATAAATAAATAAATAGATGACTGCAGAATTTGGAATTTACGTTTTTTAAGTGCTACCGTCATTTAAAGCGATCACCAAATGAACGGTCGTAAGCTGAGGACTGCCTGCAGTGCTTCAGACAACTGATAGTGCCAGCAGCAGGATTTCCTTGGGAAAATCTGCTATGGGCCGGGAGCTGGAAATTCTAGTCCTCTTTTGCAGATGGAAGGCAATTCCCCCTAACCCTGGGCATTTTTAAGGAAGTACAGATAGTCCTTGACTAATGACCGCAGTTGAGCCCAAAATTTCTGTGGCTAAGCAAGACAATTAAGTGGATTATGTCTCATTTTATGACCTTTCTTGCCATGGCTGTTAAGTGAATCACTGCAGTTGTTAAAGTTAATAACTCGGTTGTAAAGTGAATCTGACTTTATCAGAAGGTCGCAAAAGGGGATTATATGACTCCGGGACACTGCGACCGTCATAAATATGAGTCAGTTGCCAAGCATCTGAATTTCGATCACGTGACACTGCAACGGTCGTAACTTTTTTTTTAGTGCCGTTGTAACTTTGAATAGCCAATAGATGAAATGTTGTAAATCGAGGACTATCTGTCTCCATGCAACTGCTGGGCACACTCCTGGGACAATTTCAATTTTCAAGAGGCATTTTATTGGATTGATATTCTGTGTCTGTCGGGACTAATCTGGAAACTCAAATTTAATCAGAGCCACTTTGCATTAAAATCGAGCAGTAATTAAAAAAAACAAGCCCTGGCTTCTAGATTTATCTTACATCAGGCAGTTATCAGAGAGAGACTGCTTTACAATTATTCAGATTAGGTTCTGCACCCTTGGCCAGGTCTCCTGAGTTATTGCAGAAATTCCTACTCGGTTGTTACGGGCTGCACACCAGCCCCTTCATTGTAAATGCCCCGTTGACCTTACAAAATTAAAAAGCAAATGTAATTAAATTTAAGCCCTGCATTAGCTGGCATGACAGCTAGAAAGAAAAAAAAAAAAAAAGGAAGATGATTAACTTTGGAAGCTGACACTCTGTGGTGAAGGATGCATCCAACTTCTTACCTCGCCATTGATGAAACAATACAGCACAGCCACCACGAAGCCCTGAGAGAGAAGAGAGGGAGAAAAAAGAGGGGAAGGATTTCAACAAGGCAAACCCTGTGCGGGATGCGATGCCCAGTACATCGTTGTGCATTCTGTGGGGGTCCCGCGTGCTCTTGGGGGTTTTTTTTGCAGACGTTTCGTGACCCAACTAGGTAACGTCTTCAGTGCTGGAACGGAATGGGTTTAGGAGGAGGAGGAGGGGGAAGGGGTTGGGGAAGGAGGAGGAGGAGGAGGACTGAGGTTGGTAGTTTTCTTGAGATATTTCATGACCCAACTTCATAACATTATCAGTGCTAGATGCTGGAATCCCTTCCTTCCCTCTCTCCCTTTTTCTTTCTTCCTCCTTCTTTCTCCTTTTCTTTCTTTCTTTCTTTCTTTCTTTCTTTCTTTCTTTCCTTCCTTCCTTCCTTTCTTTCTTTTTTCTTTCCTTCCTTTCTTCTTTCTTTCTTTTTCTTCTTTCCCCTTCCTTCCTTCCTTCCTTCCTCTTTCTTTCCTTCCTTTCTTCTCCTTCCTCTTTCTTTCCCCTTCCTTCCTTCCTCTTTCTTTCCTTCCTTCCTTTCTTCTTCTTTCTTCCTTCTCCTTCCTTTCTTCTTTCTTTCTTTCTTTCCTTCCTCTTTCTTTCTTTTTTCTTCGCTTCCTTCCTTTCTTTTCCTTCCTTCCTCTTTCTTTCTTTCTTTTTTCCTTCCTTCTCCTTTCTTTCTTTTTCTTTTTTCCCCTTCCTTCCTTCCTTCCTTCCTTCCTTTCTTTCCTTCCTTTCTTCTCCTTCCTTCCTTCCTTCCTTCCTTTCTTCTCGTTCCTTCCTTTCTTCTCCTTTCTTTCTTTCTTTCTTTCTTTCTTTCTTTCTTTCTTTCTTTCTTTCTTTCTTTCTTTCTTTCTTCTCTTCCCTCTTCCTTCCTTTCTTTCCTTCCTTCCCTCCCTCCCCTTCTTTCTCTTCCTCTCCTTCTAATTCTTCCATTCTTCCTCCCTCCCTCCTCCTTCTTTCCCAGCACCTACTGTTTTGGGGGGGAGATTCTATGGCTCAAAGCCCCCGGGGGCATAAAATACAACCCCCCTCTCCCGCCTGGACCCCAGGCTCTCTTTGATACTGAGTATTCTAGGGAAGAACTGTGCCGGGGGGGTCTCCAAATGTGGCCACCTTAAGACATGTGGACATGCCTACCTGAGGAATTATGGGAGTTGAAGTCCACAAGTCTTAAAGTCACCAAGTCTGGAAAACTCTGGACTATGGGGGTGACAGAGGGCTCACCTGGAAGGACCCCAAAACAAGTTCGAAGACCAGCTTGACATAGAGCACTTCTTTCTTGGCCGTGTCCGGAAAAAAGGCAAATATGGTGTAATGGATGCCAAACAGAGGGATCAGAAGAAGAGTGGATTTGGCTAGTCTCCTGAGCAAGAGAAAAACTGGGGATTAACAGGGGCTAGGAGTGGAGTTTTGCGGTTTAGCTAGCTACAGAATAAGAGTTGGAAGGGACCTTGGAGGTCATCTAGTTCAGGGCTTTTCAACCTTTTCACCCATTGTACCACTTTTAGGATATGGCAACATCCGAGTACCACCAGTCGCCTGGCAAGGTGTCAAAAACTTGATGACCAAAAAAAAAAAAAAAAGGAAAAAAGTGATAAAGTACAGGTAGTCCTCAACTTACAACAGTTCGCTTAGTGACTGTTCGAAGTTACAATGGCGCTGAAAAAAGTGCCCCCCAAGCCACAGCTAAGCAAGACGCCTGCCTGCCCACCCGATGGTGCTCTTCTTCCTATCTGAGGCTTTCATTGTTGTGAGCATTTCTGTTGAGGATTGGCAGCGGGGGTGGGGTGGGGGATGTTTGGTTTTTATTCCCCCCGCCTGTTGGGTGGTGGCAGCAGGTTTTGGTCACTTCACATGACCCTGGGACATTGTGACTGTCATAAATATGAATCAGTGGCCAAGCATCTGAATGTAAATCATAAGACCCAGGAGATGTTGCAACATTCCAGCTAATCGGCACTTCTTCTGGGCTCAGCAGATGCACCAGGATCAGCACCGAGCTCCAGCTGGAGCCTGGTGCTGATCCTGGTGCTTCCACTGAGCCCTGACAGCCCTGAAGAAGCACCGATCAGCTGGAAAGCAGCACTGATCCTGGCGCTTCCGCTGAGCCCTGACAGCCCTGCAGCTCCAGCCGTCAGTCCAGCCATGTGCGGTGCTGCCACCGGTTCAGCTCATTCCCCTCCCCATCCCTTTTCTAGGATGGTCACGTATCACCTGCCAGGTGCCAATGTACCACAGGTGGTTGAAAAGCCTTGCTCTAGACCACCCCCCTGCTGAAACAGGAGACCCTTACAGAATGACAGAATAATAAAATTGGAAGGGACCTTGGAGATCCTCTAGCCCAGTGGTTCTCAACCTTTTTAATGCCGCGACCCCCAACCGGTTGTAAGTCGAGGACTACTCAACCGGTCGTAAGTCGAGGACTACTCAACTGGTGCAGCACCGTTTGCAGAATGGGACTTTTGGCGGGCTCAGCAGGGCAGAGACAGCCTGGACAATTCCTATTGGCTTTTGAAAGCCAATAGAATTAGACTCTATTCAAGAGAGTCTATTCTATTGGCTTTCAAAAGCCAATAGAATAAAAGGGAGTAGCACAGCTAAGGAAAAGGGGGGGAAAAATGGCGGACTGCGTTGTTTGGCGACCCCCGTGAAATGGTCGTTCGACCCCAAATGGGGTCCCGACCCACAGGTTGAGAACCACTGCTCTAGACCAACCCCCTGCTGAAGCAGGAGACCCTTACAGAATGACAGAATAACAAAATTGAAAGGGACCTTGGAGGTCCTCTAGACCAACCCCCTGCTGAAACAGGAGATCCGTACAGAATGACAGAATAACAAAATTGAAAGGGATCTTGGAGGTCCTCTAGACCAACCCCCTGCTGAAACAGGAGATCCTTACAGAATGACAGAATAATGAAGTTGGAAGGGACCTTGGAGGTCTTCTAGTCCAACCCCCTGCTCAAGGAGGATACCCTATAATGACAAATTATTTGGAGGACAGGAGAGAAGATCAGAGATTCACATTCTGGCAATCATTCTAACCCTTAACTGTTTGGCCTAGTGGTGAAGGCACCACGTTACAGAAACCAGGAGACAGTGAGCTGTAGTCCCATCTTAGCCATGAAATCAATTGAGTGACTTTGGCTCAATCACTAGGAGACAGTGAGTTCTAGTCCAGACAGCATCCCAATGATCAAAATTTGGACACCTGGCAAATGGTTCACATTTACGACGGTTGCCATGTCCCGGGGTCATGTGATCCTCATTTGCAACCTTCTGACAAGCACAGCCAATGGGGAAAACCAGATTCACTTTACGACCATGTGACTAACTTAACAACTGGGGTAGTTCACTTAACAGTTGTGGCAACGAAAATCGACAAAGGGGGGCAAACTCACTTAGCGACTGTCTTGCTTAGCAGGGAAAATCTGGGACTCCATTGTGGCCGTAAGTTGAGGACTGCTTGTCATGCGCATGAAAACGGGGCGGAGCTTAATTGCACGATTGTAAACCCCCCCCCCCTTTTTTTGTGAGACTCTCCCTGCAGAGGTCTCCGATCCTGTGTCAGATCCAGGAGACCGGCTCAGGACAAACCCCGGGGTTTTCAGATGACCCTCATCCCCCAGGTCCGAACTTACGAATATTGGCTTGCTTCATTTCGCCCGACATCTGGAGAGTGAAGCTTCTGAACCAGGATCCGAATGATGCAAATAAAGAGCACGAAATTGACCTGTGGATCATATTATTGTTTTTTTTTTTTTTTTTTTTTAAAGCATTAAAATTCCTTGCTGTGCAGAGGACAAAATCCATACAGAGCATCACGGATATTGATCATCTATTTCTGAGACATTTTTTCAGAAAAATGGACAGGCAAAAGGCATAGGAAACGGATATTGTACAGGTAGTCCTCAATTTATGACCAGAATTGGGAGCAAAGATTTTAAAACCTTTTTTTGTCACGGTCATCAAGAAGTTACTACGCTTCAGTGAATCTAGGGTTATTAAGTAAATCTGGCAGGTATTAAGTGAATCAGGCGGTCATTAAGTGAATTGAGCAGTCATTAAGTGAATCCTGGTTCCCCCCATTGCTTGTTGGAAGCCGGCTGGGAAGGCCACAAATGGTGATCACATGACCTTGAGACCATGCAACCCATCATCCATACATGCCAGTTGCCAAGTGCCTGAATTTTGATCATATGACAGTGAGGTTGCTATAAGGGTCGAAACTATGAGGACCGGTCATAAATTACATTTTTCAGTGACATTCCAAGACTATCTGTACCCTGTTTTTTCTCTTACAATATATTTTGACAATTTTATCTTTCGGCTCGGTTGCATTTATTAAGCAGGCCTGAAGGAAAACTCTCCATTTTCCTTCTTACAAGAAAACTGAGGAGGGCGAAGCAAGATTCACTTAACAACCGTGTGACCGACTTAACAACTGCAGTGATTCACTTAGTAACGGGGGCAAGGAAGGTTGTCAAAACAGGGCAAAAATCACTTAACTGCTGTCTTGCTTAGCAATAGAAGTTTTGGGTTTAATTATGGTCATACGTCAAGGACCATTTCTACTGTTTATTTGCACAGAAGCAAACAACAGGGTAGTCCTCAACTTACAACAGTTCATTTAGTGACGGTTCAAAGATATCCCTGAAAAAAAGACTTATGATCATTTTTTCACACTTACAACCACTGCAGCATCCCCATGGTCACGTGATCAGAATTCAGACACTGACTCATATTTATGACGGTCGCAGTGTCCTGGGGTCATGTGATCCTCTTTTGCGACTGTCTGACAAACAAAGTCAATGGGGAAGCCGGATTCACTTAGCAACAGGCTGACTAATTTAGCAATGGCAGTGATTCACTTAACAACAAAGAATGCCTTTACATGGGGCAAAATTTCACATAATGACTGTTTTGCTTTGTAATGGCAGTTTGGGGTTCCATTGTGAACGTACGTTGAGGACCTATTGTTCATTTACACAGAATCAAACTATGGAGATGAAGGAAGTTATTTCAAGGTATTTAGATCAGAGTTCTCCAAACTTGGCAACTTTTAAGACTTGTGGACTTCAACTCCCAGAATTCCTCAGCCAGGAGTTGAAGTCCAAAAGTCTTACATTTGCCAACTTAGATGGTGAAAAAAATAAAAAAAAACCCACACAAATTCCTTACCAATATAGAAACCAAAATGGGAGCTTTGATAATCCACCAATACGGAGATTCGATTAAATCCCAGCAACTGAAAAGAAATTGTCAAATTATCAAATTAGATCAAACCCAAGGGGTCACAGAGGAAGCAAACAGAAAAAATATGATTTTGATTAAAATGACACAACTAAAATACACAACTGGAATGCTCCAGAAGCCCACCCAAATGCAGGCTATACAGATAGTCCTTGAATTAAAATCAAAATCGAGCTTATAACTTGTGTTGGTCATTAAACAGGTGATCACACGATCGGGCTCAATTTTCCAGCCTTTTTCTACATTGGCTGCTAAACAAACATGCTTGTTAAGTCAACGCTGGGGTTGTTCAGCGACCGCTACTGTGGTCATTAAGTGAATCCATTGTTATTATTGGGTAATTTTTTGGTCAGAAATTGGAAATATTGTAAGTGCTGGTTTCCAACAAAAAAGGGTCAGAAATTATGGTTGTGGGAGGCTGCAAATAGCCATGAATTAATATTTTAATGTTTCAACTTTTACTGCACCAATGTTTTATGTTTTAATATTTTGAAGAAGAAGAAGAAGAAGAAGAAGAAGAAGAAGAAGAAGAAGAAGAAGAAGAAGAGGAGGAGGAGGAGGAAGGAGGAGGAGGAAGAGAGGAGGAGGAGGAGATGTAGAGAGAGAGAAAAGGAAAGAAGACAGAAAAAAGAAAGAAGGAAGAAAGAAAGAGAAAGAAAGAGGGGAAGAAGAGAAAAATAAAGAAAGAAAGAAAGAAAGAAAGAAAAAGAGGAAGAGGAAGGGAGGGAAAGAGAAAGAAAGAAAGAAAGAAAGAAAGAAAGAAAGAAAGAAAGAAAGAAAGAAAGAAAGAGAAAGGGAAGGTGGGAGGTAAAGAAAGAAAGAAAGGAAGAAAGAAAGAAAAGGATGGAAGGAAGGAAGGAAGAAGGAAGGAAGGAAGGAAGGAAGGAAGGAAGGAAGGAAGGAAGGAAGGAAGGAAGGAAGGAGAGAGATGTAGAGAAAGAAAGAAGCAGAATGGAGATGCCTGCTTACCCCGTATTTTCATAGTGTATCCTCGTGATGGTCCAAGCCAAGATGAAAAGCATCGGAGCACCTGAAACAGGATTAAGGATTTGTCACATTTTTTTTATTGCACACCCTAAAGGCAATAAAGGCAGAACAACAACAATCAAGAAGTCGCACAATCAGATGTGCCAAATTAGCAGCACAACATTATTTTGCCTGCTGGACACCATTTTGAATATTATTATTATATAGGAAGACGTGGGAAATGGCCTTCATTACCTACTTACAGGTAATCCTCAACTTATGACAGTTCATTTAGTGACTGTTTGAAAGGACAACAGCACTGAAAAAATGATTTACGGCCCTTTTTCACACTTATGACCACTGCAGCATCCCCAGAGTCACGTGATCAAAATTTGGGCACTCGGCAACTGACTTGTACTTATGATGGTTGCAGCGTCCCAGGGTCACCTGAACCCCTTTGGCGACCTTTTGTCACACGAAGGCCAACGGGAAAGCCACAACACAACAACTGTGTTGCTAACTTAAAAATTGTGGTGATCCACTTAACCACAGTGGCCAGAAAGATTGTAAAATGGGGAAAAACTCACTGAACAACTGTCTCACTTAGCAACGGACATTTTGGATTCAGTTGTGACCATCTGTTGAGGACTACCTGCATTGAGATAAATTCAGACATAATTCAATGCTCATAATTATTATAAGGGGAAACTCTCTAGTCTGAGGAATTAAAAATGCTATTTACAAATTGAGTTTCAGCAGGATCACAATTCTAACATTCTGGCTTCCTCATAAAAATGTTATTTTTATGTGGACACCAACTCCAAGCTCAGCTTTCTCCATCCTGGGGACCATGGCTCCATCACCACTGGTCAAGCGTTGCTCAATTGTGATAGGGGTGCAAGAATTCTAAGCCTAACAGCAACCAACCATTTAAATAAGTAAAGGATTATTATAATAAATAGAGCCAGTTTGGTTAGTGTTTAAGCCACCAGGCTACACACCAGGAGGCCGTGAGTTCTAGTCCTGCTTTAGCCACCAAAAGCAGTTGGGTGACTTTGGGCCAATCACCAGGAGACGGTGATTCTAGTCCTGCTTTATGCATGAAAGCCAGCTGGGTGATTTTGGGCCAATCACTTTGGGCCAATCACTAGAGAGAACTAGATGGTGAGTTCTAGTTCTCTCTTAGGCACAGAATCCAACTGGATAACTCTGGGCTAATCAAATGCCAGAACATTCAGACCAATCAGTGGCCTAGTGGTTAAGAGACCAGGCTAGAAACACGGAAACAGTGAGTTCTAGTCCTGCTTTATGCATGAAAGCCAGCTGGGTGACTTTGGGCCAATCCACCAGGAGACAGCGAGTTCTAGTTCTGTCTTAGGCACAGAAACCAACTGGATAATTCTGGGCTAATCAAATGCCAGAGCATTCAGATCAATCAGTAGTCTAGTGGTTAAGGCACCAGGCTAGAAACCCGGAGACGGTGAGTTCTAGTCCTGCTTTATGCACGAAAGCCAGCTGGGTGACTTTGAACCAAACACTAGGAGACGGTGAGTTCTAGTTCTGCTTTATGCACAAAAGCCAGCTGGGTGACTTTGAACCAAACACTAGGAGACAGTGAGTTCTAGTCCTGCTTTATGCATGAAAGCCGGCTGGGTGATTTTGAACCAATCACTAGGAGACAGTGAGTTCTAGTTCTGCTTTATGCACAAAAGCCGGCTGGGTGATTTTGAACCAATCACTAGGAGACAGTGAGTTCTAGTTCTGCTTTATGCACAAAAGCCGGCTGGGTGATTTTGGGCCAGTCCCTCTCTCTCAGCTCAGCCTACCTCACAGGGTTGTTGTGGGAAAAACAGGAGGAGGAAGGAGTCTAAAACATGTTCGCAGCCTTGAGTTATTTATAAAAATATTAAAGACAGGATGCAAATAAACTAATCGATAAGTACAAGAATATCGGCAATGTGTGGAAGGCATCTGTGTAGGGAAACGAGAAAGGCACCATACCCCAGCCTATGACAATGTACCACCAGAAGTATTTCTTCTCTGAAAAGAAGGAGATGACCAAGAGGGTGTGAAGATACAAGCCCTCGACCAGAAGCCAAAAGAAATTAGCCATGATGCAGTACTGGAAAAACACCATCGCAGCTTTGCAACCCACCTGAAGAAAGAGAAACAAACCAACTTGGATTAAGGATTCAGATTGCAAAGATGAATTTGCTGTTTATTTGCTGTCTAGACACACTTTTCTAATAATGCGTGTGGCTCTAAAACAACCCTTTGGTGGCCGACACAGTTTCTCAGTTTGCTTCTAGGTCATCCTCGAATTATGACCGCTTACAAGTAGGACTCAATTGCTAGGACATGGTGAGTTCTAGTCCCACTTTAATTCTAGATCCCACCTGGGTGGGTGTCTTTGGGCCAATCACAAGAAGACAGTGAGTTCTAGTTCCACCTTAATTCTAGATCCCACATGGTTGAGTGACTTTGACTCAATCACTAGGATGTGGTGAGTTCTAGTCCTACTTTAATTCTAGATCCCACCTGGGTGGGTATCTTTGGGCCAATCACAAGAAGACAGTGAGTTCTAGTTCCACCTTAATTCTAGATCCCACATGGTTGAGTGACTTTGACTCAATCACTAGGATGTGGTGAGTTCTAGTCCTACTTTAATTCTAGATCCCACCTGGGTGGGTGTCTTTGGACCAATCATTAGGAGATGGTGAGTTCTAGTGCTGCCTTAGCCATGAAAGCCATCTGGGTGACTTTGGGCCAATCACCAAGAGATGGTGAGTTCTAGTCCCACTTAATTCTAGATCCCGCCTGGTTGAGTGACTTTGACTCAATCACTAGGATGTGGTGAGTTCTAGTCCCAATTTAATTTTAGATCCCACCTGGGTGGTTGTCTTAGGGTCAATCATTAGGAGAAGGTGAGTTCTAGTGCCTCCTTAGCTATGAAAGCCAACTGGGTGACTTTGCGTCTATCACCAGGAGACTGGGAGTTCTAGTTCTGCTTAGCCATGAAAGCCAGCTAGGTAACTTTGAGCTATCTCTCTCTCTCCCCAAGCCACCTCACAGGATTGTCGTTATGGGGAAAATAGAAGGAGGAAAATGTATTGGATGTGTTGGTTGCTTTGAGTGATTTATAAAAGCAATAAATAAATAAAATATTTATTTATAAGACACCCACCAAAAGTGTTCAGGGAAGCAAAAACTTTGGCCTCCAGTTTAAGTCTTGTTCCCCCCCCCCCCCATGGCCAAAGAAAGAAAGAAATAGCCATGAATCAGAAAGAATATAACAGGTTATTAAGGCTGTTTGTCTTTTTTATAGTATCTCTTTGAGTAATCCTTCTGTCACCCGTAAGAACAATGACCCAAAACGACCTCTTTATAGTTAGAGATTGTAAAAATGACTTGGCAAAACTTTTTTCCTCTCTCTTTCTCTCTCTCCAGGACTAAACCTGCTGTCACATACGCTAAGAAGGGGGGACTATTACGCAATATTATGTATATTTGTTTGTTTTTCCCCACCGGTTGGTTTTTATTAGCTTGTGCCGGCTGGCTTACATTAGCAATATCCTGCTTGCTTTTTACACTCCGGATGTGTTTTCACACAAAGTTTGCAACGGACCAATTTAATTAGGCAATTAAAAAAGAGCACTGTTCATTATTTGAAAAGGTGAGGCTCCGTTCGATCTGCGGTCAAGTATTCAGTGAGTATTCATTTAGTGACCGTTTCAAATTACAAACCAAACTTGAGGGCATAGTTTGACTTACCACAATTCGTTTAGTAACCATTCAAAGTTACAATGGCACTGAGTTATGACCGTTTTTCACACTTACGACCGTTGCAGCCTCTCCAGACTCACGTGATTAGTATCCAGTTGCTTGGCAACTGATTCATATTTATGACGGTCACAGAGTCCCAGGATCACGTGATCCCCTTTTGCGACCCTCTGACAAGCAAAGTCAATGGGGGAAGCCCGATTCACTTAACAACTGTAGCACAAAAGGTGATAAAATGGAGCAAAATTCACTTAGCAACTGCTTTGTCTAGCAATGGAATTGTTGGGTGCAATTGTGGTTACAAAATTGAGGGCTACCTGTATTATTCCTCTAAAAATGTTTTGAGTAGCTTATTCAATGGATACTTTGACGACTGATTGGTCTTTTCATGGCATGACTAAGCATTTAAAAGAAAATTACAATTATTATACAAAATATTATACAAAATAATTACAAAATTATTTTTAATCATTTCATTCACCAATCGATTAAAGTAATTAAATTAAATTAAAGCAATACAAAGGTAGTCTGCAATTTACAAATCATTTAGTGACTGTTTGAAGTTACAACGGCAACAAAGAAGTGATTTATGACCATTTTTCATACTTAACAACCTTTGCATCATGTGATCCAAATTCAGGCGTTTGGCAACTGATTCACATTTATGACGGTTGCAGGCCCTGGAGTCACATGATCCTCTTCTGTGACCTTTTGTCAAGCAAAGTCAATGGGGGAAGCCGGATTCACTTAACAATTGTGTTACTAACTTATCAACTGCAGTGATTCACTTAACAACTGGCAAGAAAGGTCGTAAAATGGGGCAAAGCTCACTTAACAACAGTTAGCAACACAAAGTTTGGCATCAACTGTGGTCAGGGACTATCTGTATATTATTTGATATCACAATTATGAGTATGGGAAACTTCTATAAAATTTCTTTTGCCTTCCCTAAACAAGCAATTTAATAAAACCTGATTGCTCGCTTGCTCTTTGGTGTGGATCAAGCAAACACAGCTACCAGGAATGGACAAACAACATGAACAATTGTGCTATTTGTGATGTGTGTTATCGTAATATCAGATGGGCAGCTTTCAAAACTGGAGACACAAGGCTGTAATATAATTCTGAGGTATAAATGCAGAACTTCAGCAAAAATGATTGGGAAGAAAACCAATTACGGCAGGGAAGAACAGAAGTGCTGGTTAGCATCATTCTTTAATGTTAGTTAAATCTATGGAAGCCGACAATGAGGATCTCCCTCCCTCCCTCTATCCCTCCTTCTCCCCTTCTCCCTCCCTCCCTCTCTCTCCCTTCCTCCCCCTCTCTCCCTCTCTCCTCCTCTCTCCCTCCCTCTCTCCCCTGTTCCCTCTCTCCCCCCTCTCCCTCCGTCCCCCTCTCCCTCCCTCCCTCTCCCTCCCCCCTCTTCCCCCTCCTCCCCCTCTCTCTTCTTCTCCACTCCCTCCCTCTCTCTCCCCCTCTTCCTCTCTCTCTCCCTCCCCCCCTCTCTCCCTCCCCCCCTCTCCCACCCTCCCTCCCTCCCTCCTGCTCTCTCTCTCGTTCTCCCTCCCTCTTTCCCTCTCTCTTTTTCTCTCTCTCTCTCTCTCAAAAAAAAATACATTGTTAAACTGGGATCAATGCAGAATTGGCTAGAAAAATGCAGGGGTCACAATCACTTGACCGTGGGAAAGCTGCAACGGTTATTAAGTATGAAAAATGATCATCAATCACTTTTTTCAGTGCCATTGTAACTTTGAATGGTCACTAAATGAACTGTTGTAAAACCGAGGACTAGTTGTACCCTCTAGAACAGTGGTTCTCAACCTTTTTAATGCCATGACCCCAACCGGTCGTAAGTCGAGGACTACTCAACCGGTCGTAAGTCGAGGACTACTCAACTGGTGCAGCACCGTTTGCAGAATGGAACTTTTGGCGGGCTCAGCAGGGCAGAGGCAGCCTGGACAATTCCTATTGGCTTTGGAAAGCCAATAGAATTACTCTATTCAAGAGAGTCTATTCTATTGCCTTTCCAAAGCCAATAGAATAAAAGGGAGTAGCACAGCTAAGGAAAAGGGGGGGAAAAATGGCGGACTGCGTTGTTTGGCGACCCCCGTGAAATGGTCGTTCGACCCCAAATGGGGTCCCGACCCACAGGTGGAGAACCACTGTTCTAGAAAATGAGGGTAGGGAATTCTCCAGATGAAAAAATGCGCTCGTATTTATGCATTTTAGGAAAGGAGGGGAAAAAAAATGATACACTTGAATATAGGTAGTCCTCAACTTACAACAGTCCATTTAGTGACTGTTACAACACTGAAAAAGTGACTTATGACCAGTTTTCACATTTATGACTGTTGCAGCGTCCCCATGGTCACGTGATCAAAATTTGGCCGCTTGGTGACTGGCTCATATTTATGACGGTCACTGTGTCCTGGGGTCACGTGATCCCCTCTTGTGACTTACTGACAAACAAAGGCCATGGGAAAACCAGATTCACTTAACAACCTTGTAACTCACTTAACAACTGCAGTGATTCACTTAACAACTGGAGCAAGAACGGTCCTAAAACTCACTTAACAAATGTTTCCCTTAGCGACAGAAACTTCGGGCTTAACTGTGGTCGTAAGTCAAGGGCTGCCTGCAGTTAAATTACGGGGAATGGAGAACCGACATTCCAAGGTAGGAGGACACTGGACAGAGTGGACAATAGGCAAGACTGACCGAGCCTACGAAGCAATATTCCGATTCTCCGTTTTCAAACAAAATGATGTCCTTGACGAAGACAGCCACGGCACGCAGGATGAAGGACATAAATAGATGCATGTGGATGTAATTCCGGGTGCAATGCAACTTCCTGGAGAGGAGAAAGAGGACATGTTGGACATTTCACGTATCTGAAGGGGCTTCCGATCATCTCCGGTGGACCTCAAAGGAACCTGAGAATCGGAAAGCTGCTTAATTCGGAGAATTCTTCAGCTGAAAGTTCAGACGAAGCCAGAAGCTTCTCTTTTAGGTTTGATGGATAACCAGGTTGAAAAGAGGGTTAAAGTGCGTAGACTTCAACTCCCAGAATTACCTTGCTAGTAGGGCTGGATTTTGGAGGAGGAGGAGGAGAAAAACGATGAGAAGGAGGAGGAAGAGGCGGAAGAGGAGGAGGAAATGGAGGAGAAGGTAATGAAGGAGGAGGAGGAAGAGAAGGAGGGGAAGAGGAAATGGAGGCGAAGAAGAAGAAGAAGGTAATTGAGGAGGAGGAGGAAGAGAAGGAGGAGGAAGAGGGGAAGAGGAGGAGGGGAAGAGGAGGAGGAAGAGGAAATGGAGGAGAAGAAGGAGAAGAAGGTAATGGAGGAGGAGGAAGAGAAGGAGGAGGAAGAGGGGAAGAGGAGGAGGGGAAGAGGAGGAGGAAGAGGAAATGGAGGAGAAGAAGGAGAAGAAGGTAATGGAGGAGGAGGAAGAGAAGGAGGAAGAGGGGAAGAGGAGGAGGGGAAGAGGAGGAGGAAGAGGAAATGGAGGAGAAGAAGGAGAAGAAGGTAATGAGGAGGAGGAGGAAGAGAAGGAGGAGGAAGAGGAGGAGGGGAAAAGGAGGAGGGGAAGAGGAGAAGGGAGAGGAAATGGAGGAGGAGAAGAAGGTAATGGAGGAGGAGGAGGAAGAGAAGGAGGAGGAAGAGGAGAAGAGGAGGAGGAGGAAGAGGAAATGGAAGAGAAGGAGAAGAAGGTAATGGAGGACAAGGAGGAAGAGAAGGAGGAGGAAGAGGAGGAGGGGAAGAGGAGGAGGAAGAGGAAATGGAGGAGAAGAAAGAGAAGAAGGTAATGGAAGAGGAGGAGGGGAAGAGGAGGAAGAAGAAATGGAGAAGAAGGAAAAGAAGGTGATGGAGGATGAGAAGAAGGAGGAGGAGAAAGAGAAGTAGGAGGAAGAGGAGGAGAAGAGGAGGAAGAGTAAATGGAGAAGAAGAAGATGATGGAGGACAAGAAGGAGGAAAAGAGGAGGAAGCTAGAAAAGTCCACATATCTTCAAGTTGTGAAGGTTGAGAAACACTGTTACAGGTAGTCCTTGACTTGTAATCATTTGTTTAGTGATGAAAGATACAACGGCACTGTCCGTTTTTCATCCTTGCGACATTTGCAGCATCCCCAGGATCACGAGAGATCACAATTCAGATGCTTGGCAACTGACTCATATTTATGACGGTCCCGGTGTCCAGGGGGTCACGTGATCCCCTTTTGCGAATCCTTCTGACAAACAAAGCTACAGGGCAAGCCCAGATTCACTTAACAACCCTGTGTCACTAACTTAAACAACTGCAGGGATCCACTTAACAACTTTGACAAGAAAAGTTGTGGCGAAACACGGTAAAAAACCGCTTAAGAATGGTTTTGCTCAGCAATGGAAATTGGGAACTCCACTGTGGCTGTAACTTGAGGATGGCCTTTATAGAGGGCTGCATTTGGGGGGGCGAAGAAGCCCAACCTCTGTGCCCCTCCCCCAATCCCAGATTCAGGTGATTCCCATTACCTGAAGATGCAGAGGACCATCATGGCAGCTGCCAAAGCAATGAGAGACAAGCTGTGTCCAATTGTGTAACCGGTTTTCACTGTGCCGTAAAAGACGACACTCTGAGAAAAGAGAGAGAGAGAGAAAGTGGTCAATACTTCCATATGGATTGACAAATACAGGCAGTCCTCGACTTACGACCACAACACTTAATTTCCGTTGATAAGCAAGACAATGGTTAAGTAGAGTTTTGCTCCATTTTACGACCTTCTTTGCCACAGTTGTTAAGCAAGTCCTTGCAGTTGGTTAAGTTAGTCACACAGTCGTTAAATGAATCCGGCTTCACTCATTGAATTTGCTTGTCAGAAGGTCACAAAAAAGGGATCACGTGACCCCAGAGACACTGCAACCGTCGTAAGTATGAGTTAATTGCCAAACATCCCGAATTTTGATCACGTGACCCTGGGGATGCTACAACGGTCATAAGTGTGAAAAATGGTCATAAGTCTCTTTTTTCAGTGAGGTGGCCACTTTGAATGGTCAGTAAATAAATTGTTGTAAGTCGAGGACTAATTAAATCAGGGGTCTTCAAACTTGGCCCTTTGATGACTTGTGGACTTCAACTCCCAGAATTCCTCAGCCAGCATGCCTAGCTGAGGAATTCTGGGAGTTAAAGTCCACAACTCGTAAAAGGGGCAAACTTGAAGACCCCTGAATTAAATGAACTGAGAAGCCATTAAATCCTTGTTCTGAAGAATCTTTTGTCTAGTTATCTCTAAGGGTAGTCCTCAACTTACAACAATTTGTTTACCGGCCATTTGAACTTAAAACAGTACTGAAAAAAAGGACTTAGGATGGGTCCTCACACTTACGACTGTGGCAGCAAAAATCTTCCCATCCACTTTCTGGCAAGCAAAGTCAGTGGGGAAAGCGGGATTGGCTTCACAACTGTGGGACTCATTGTACAACTGCATGCTTCATTTTACAACCAGGGGAGATAAAGTGGTGAAATCGAGTGTTAAGTGAGTACTTAACAATCAATTGCCTTGCTTAGGCATCCTGTGGTTATAAGCCGAGGACTTTCTTTACCTGCAAACGGAGCCTTACATGGAGTAGACTTCAATGACAGTCTCAACCACAAAAACAGCAACACAATTCTCCTGCAAGGACACCATCTGTGCTCTGCTTTTATCAGTGCTGCAGCCATCCATCAAGTACAAGAGAGGCAGTTTGGTCCAGTGGTTATGGCACCAGGTTAGAAAACAGAAAGCTGCGAGTTCAAGTGTTGCCTTAGATATGAAAGCCGGCTGGGTGACGTTGGGCCAATCACCAGGAGACAGGGAGTTCTAGTCCCGCCTTTAGACATGAAAGCCACCTGGGTGACTTCAGACAAGTCCCTATTCTCAGCCCAACCCACCTCACAGGGTTGTTGTTCAGGGGAAAACAGGTTTGGTGGATATGTTTGCTGCTGAGTTATTTGTAATAATAATAAAGGTTGGATACAGCTAAATAAACAAAGCCCTCTTGGTCAACTTCCTTCTTTTCTTTTTGGTCTCCTTCCTTCCTTCCTTCCTTCTTCCTTCCTTCCTCCCACTCTCCCTCCTGTCCTCTCTCTCTCCCTTCCTTCCTCCCTCCCTCCTGTCTTTCCTTCCTTCCTTCCTTCCTTCCTTCCTCCCTCCTGTCCTCTCTCTCCCCCCCTTCCTTCCTTCCTCCCACTCTCTCTCCTGTCCTCTCTCTCTCTCTCCCTTCCTTACTTCCTCCCTCCCTCCTGTCCTGTCCTGTCCTTCCTTCCTCCCTCCCCTCCCTCCCTCCCTCCCTTCCTTCCTTTCTTTTTTTTCTTTCTTTCTTTCTCTCCCTCCCTCCTGTCCTCTCTCTCCCCTTCCTTCCTCCCTCCCTCCCTCGTCCTCTCTCTCCCTTCCTTCCTCCCTCCCTCCCTCCTGTCTTTCCTTCCTTCCTTCCTTCCTCCCTCCCTCCCTCCCTCCCTCCCACTCTCCCTCCTGTCCTCTCTCTCTCCCTTCCTTACTTCCTCCCTCCCTCCTGACCTTCCTTCCTTCCTTCCCTTCTCTTTCTTTCTTTCTTTCTTTCTTTCTTTCTTTCTTTCTTTCTTTCTTTCTTTCTCTCTCTCTCTCTCTCTCTCTCTCTCTCTCTCTCTCTCTCTCTCTCTCTCCCTCCCTCCTCTTCTCCTCCTCCTTCTCCTTCTTCTTCTCTCTCTCTCTCTCTCTCTCTCTCTCTTCTTTTCTTTTCTCCCCCCCCAACTAGGTTCCCCTTGTACTGACCTGTTCCTCAGTGGTTGTCATGTTGGAGTCATACCCACAAGCCACTGGATAGGGGGCAGGATAAATTTCTGACCAGCCATCCCTGGTGCAGTTCCTGCTGATGTTACCTAGATGGGCAACAAAGAAAGAGAGCAATAGCAATAAGACTTATATACCGCCTCACAGTGCTTTACAGCCCTCTCTAAGCGGTTTACAGAGTCAGCATCTTGCACCCCTCAACATTTTGGGTCCTCATTTTACCGACCTCGGAAGGATGGAAGGCTGAGTCAACTTGAGCCAGTTAGGATCGAACGGCTGACGGTCGGCAGAATCAACCTGCAACACTCCATTCTAACCACTGCGCCACCACGGCTCCTTATCATAAAATGTGCTCCCCCCACTTAGAGTTATACTGTCCACTATCATAAGTAGTCCTCGACTTACAACCACAATTGAGCCCCAAATTTCTGTTGTTAAGTGATACGTCTGTTAAGTGAATTTTGCCCCATTTTACAGTCTTTCTTGCCCTAGTTGCTAAATGAACCATTGCAGTTGTTAAATGAGTAACATGGTCGTTAAGTGAATCAGGCTTCCCCATTGACTCTGCTTGTCAGAAGGTCGCAAAAGGGGACCACATGACCCTGGGACACTGCCACCGTCATAAATACGAGTCAATTGCCAAGCGTCTGAATTTTGATCCCGTGACTACGGGGGATGCTGTAATGATTGTATGAAAAATAGTCATAAATCATTTTTTTTCAATGCTGTTGTAAGTTCAAACAGTCACTAAACAAACGGTTGTAAGTTGAGGACTACCTGTACAGCTGGAAAGGGCTGGTTGATGGTTAGAGGAGGCTCTCTCCACATTTTAAAGTCCAATTTTGCAAGGTTTTTTTTTTTCTTCCCTGTAAACGACTCAGAGCCACTTTGATACTGAGCAAGATGGTGTGTAAATTTGATTAATAGATAATTAAATAGAAAGAAAAGATTGCTATCCGGTCTTCTCTCCCAGGATCTGGAATTCATTTTGCAGGATCCAATCCGGGACCAAAATTCTTTCAAACTTTTGGACTCATGTTAGAGTCCATTCTCAGGAAACTTCTTTTTACAGAACGTGTGCTTTGGGCTATTTGATGTGTCATATTCATGTGGTGCCTGGTTGTGTGTGGTCTTTCAGTTGTTGATTGGAATGTTGATGGCCAGCTGTCATTGGCTGTTGTTTCCTTGTGCTGCCAAGTCATTGGCTCCCAGATACCCGATAAGCTGGCGGTGAATCAAATAAACAAGGACATACATTCATTTTCATAGCTACTAAGATTGTCGGCCGAGCAGGTACAAAAACAGCCAAGGAAATGATTGAAGCCTGGGAAATGGCCCTTTGTCAGTCCACAGGAATGCTGATTTACCACCAGTTTAACAAGGTACTTGGGGGCCAAGGGCTTGGCAGCACAAAGAAACAACAGCCAGCCATCGACCCCCCCCCCAAACAACAATTACACACAACCAGGCACCACATAAATACCACACATAGAATAGCTCAAATTACACACTCTACTAGAGAGAAGTTCTTCAAAGATGGAATGACTGAAAGCTCATAAGTCAAAACCTCAGATCCCAGAAAAGAGCCCCAATTGTGTCCTGCAACATTATTCTGGGACACGTGTATTTGCCTTTACCCAGAATTCATTTTATTTGCATTAAATTCTTTATTCAGCTTGATTCACAGATTCAAATGTGAGCAGAACTCCCAAAGAACTCAGAATTGGCATGCAAAAACTCGGAACTGGAAAGCGTAAAAGAAATATTTAGAGTTGTCGCCGACTTGCAGGGACCGCAATGATTAATTCCTGGGGCGGGGTGACGCATTCGGAGAACACAATGATCCATGTGTGTTTGCATTAGGGATTGAGACATTTCCTGGTTTGTCATTCAATACAGAAACAGAGATGCAGAGAACGCAATAACTTTTCCGAATAAACTTCGAGGCCAGAAAAAAGGAGAAATTGTTGATTTGAGGCAGAATAAAAACCAAGAATGCCTGAGGCGATAGGGTTGGAGATAATAGCTGGGTGTGTTACACAAAAATTGTATTTTTGTGACACTGGTGAATAACATTTTTATTGGCCTAACTACTCTGCTCAAAGCAGTCCTCGACTTACGACTGCAATTGAGCCCACAATTTTGGGCATAAGTCATGATAGTTGTTAAGCAGATGACTGTGTAAGCTGATTTTACAACCTTTTTTGCGGCGGTCATTAAGTGAGCATGGCGGTCATAAAACATACACAAACATACACACACACACACACACACACACACACACACACACTTGGAGTCCTTGACTTATGACCACAATTGAATTCCAAATTTCCATTGCTAAGCAAGACAGTTGTTAACTGAGTTTTGCCCCGTTTTACGACCTTGTGGCCACCGTTGTTTAATGAGTCCCTGCAGTTGTTAAATGAGTAACACGGTTGTTAAGTGAATCTGGCTTCCCCATTGATTTTGCTCGTCAGAAGGTCGCAAAAGGAGATCACATGACCCAGGTCACTGCAACCATCATAAATACGAGTCAGTTGCCAAGGGTCCAAATTTTGATCACGTGACCAGGGGGATGCTGCAACGGTCGTAAGTGTGAAAAACGGTCATTAAGTCACTTTTCTTCCCACGCTTGCAGAATTTCAAATCGTTGTAAGTCGAGGTCTACTTCTATTTGTGTAAGTGCGGATTTATTTATTATTTATTATTTATATTATTTATATGTCAGAAACCGGATGCAAATGCAAGTTTCCACCAAAAACATCACAAATCACGATTATGTGACCACAGGATGCTGCCGATGGCCGTAATACAGGCCAGTTATTGAGCATCCAAAATGCAGTCACGTGACTGGGGTGGGGGTGGGGAGACTGTCCGGATGTGAGAACTTTTGAATCTAGAGTGATATGTAGCATTTTTTTGTGATCAGTACGTGTCGAACAGTCAGTAAGCAACGAGTTGTAAATCGGGGACTTCCTGTACACTCAGAATGAGAAGATAAGAAAAGAAGTGTTGGGTCTGGCTGACTTCCTGTAGAAATTTCATAACCCAACCAGATAACTTCGTTAGCTTCTGGGGTGCTAATCTCTTCTTGCATGGATGATATGAACTAGTTCGGTAATGAAATGTCTGCAGAAATACAGCCAAGGACAGACCACCAAAACCCTACAATGCTCCTCCTGCTCCTCCTCCATCCTCCCTCTCCTCCTCCCTGTCCTCCTCCCCTCCCCCTCCTCTTGCTGCTCTTCCTCCCCTGCTACTCCCTTCTTCCCTCTCCCCTTCTCCTCTTCCTCCTCCCCTCCTCTTCCCCCTCATCTCTTCTTCCTCCTCCCTTCTCCTCCTCTTCCTCTTCCCCTTCCCCCTCATCTCTTCCTTCTCCTGCTCCCTACACTTTCCCCCCCCCTTCTAGCCCTGATGATGTTACCTAACTGAGTCATGAAACGTCTGCAAGAAAACCCCCAAGCTCAGAGAGCACCAGGGACCCCACAATTTAACCCTGAGCTGCAAATATTCTCTTGTCAACCATCTGTGGGAAATCAGCCTCCCCCCAGAGAAAGAAATATTTAAAAGGCAGAATATATTTCGCTAAAGGATTTTAAAAGCAAAAACCAATCCCGCCTCAAGTCTCTCTGTCCCAAACAGAAACCAGGTCTGCAGAAATGCAGATGTGATAATCTTGTCAGAAAGACTGGAGTCAGGAAACTGGAATTAGGAAAAAAGATCCCTACAATCAACACACCAAAAATCTAAGAGTCATCAGCCACAGTCCCAGGGAAGCAGGATATGACCTTTGGGACATAATAGGATTAACTCACCACCATCAGAATACCAGAAAGGCACAGACTCAGGTCAAAGTTCATGCCACAGGAACAACTCCAAGCAAAAGGCTCTAGAGGGTATAAAAACCCACTCCCTACATGTGCTCATCCTCTTTTCTTCCAGAGCCATCTTTCGGTCTGGCTCTCCTCTTCAATAAATTGCAGCCTTCTTTCTAAAGCAGTCACCATGTTGTTTATTCCCGGCTTGGACTGAACCATGATGAAGACTTTTCCTTCAACACTTCTTTTTTCTATCTAGGGATAATTTAATCATTGGTTCCCGATGAGAAGAAAACTTACTCCTTTAGACAGAAAGCTGTCTGGCTGTTAATGATAAGCCTGCCATTTGACAGTCTTTAAGATATATGATATTCATTGCTTTTTCCTGAAAGTTGGCAGGAGGCCGCCTGCAATTTCAGCCTTCACACCAGGTTGTATCATATTTCCACACCAATGATAGCAATTTGTTCTGGGATCATTTTGCCAGTCAAGTCACTGGTCGCCAGTGATGGATATCGTGGCATAAAGAGTTTGTGGTCAGGGCACAAAGTCTGAGGTTTAAATTATCAGCTTATTGTTTCAAGCATCCTAAGCAGTTAACCATGATATGCATGTTGGCATGCTGTCTGCATGAAAGCCCTGTGAGCAAAAAAAAATCTTTATTTCCAATTTTGGGCTGAAAGAGTAAATCAGACAGGAATCAGATTAGATGCACTAATTCTATCTTCTTATAAGCTATACAGGCAGTCCTCTACATATGACCATAAGGGAGCCCAAAATTTCCATTGCTAAGCGAGACAGTTCTTAAGTGAGTTTTATCCCCATTTTATGACCTTGCCACATTTGCTAAGTTTGCTTGTCAGATGGTCGCAAAAGGAGATAACGCAATCATTATAAATATGATGCTTGGTAACTACCGTGTCTTTATGACAGTTTCAGTATCCTGAGGTCATGTGATCCCCTTCTGACAAGCAAAGTCAATGGGGAAGCCGGATTCATTTAATGACCGTATTATTCACTTAACAACTGCAGTGATTCACTTAACAACTGTGCCAAGAAAGATCATAAAGTGTGGCAAAATTCACTTAACAAATGTCTCACTTAACAACAAAAAATTTTGGGCTCAGTTGTGGTCGTAAGTTGAGGACTACCTGTATTTATTTGTAAATGTATCAGTCGCCCAGTTGTGGTCGTAAGTTGAGGACTACCTGTATTTATTTGTAAATGTATTAGTTGCCCATCTTAACACTGGTAAGTCTGAGTAACTCATACTGTATAGATAGTCCTTGACTTACAACCATTCACTTTGCGACTGTTTTAAGATACAATAGAACTGGAAAAAGTGTTTTATAACCAATCCTCACACTTATGACCATTATAGTATGTGATCAAAAATTGGGAACTTGGCAACCGGCATATATTTATGATGGTTGCAGCATCCCAGGATCACATGATCACTATTTGTGACCTTCTCAACTGGTTTCTGACAATGAGGAAAGTCAGATTCACTTAACGACCGCATGATTCACTTAGCAACCATGGTGATCCACCTAACAGCTGTGGCAAAAAAGATCATCAAACTCGTTCTGATTTTAGTACCAGATTGGCCAAATTAGAGAATTAAAACTATTTCACCTAAATTACAAAAATTGCGAATCATTAGATGGCAGCAAAGAGTTCACAGGCGTTTCCTTGCTCTTTCATGCCATCTTGTGGTAGATCGCATCCCAGATTATGCACAGCACAAAATTACATTGATCAATTTTTGGAGAAAAAAAAACTTTAGGTCAACTTACCTTGAATTTTTGAAAAGTAGGTGAAAAGGAGTGGGCAGGAGAGCACTTTCGTTTCCCCGAAATTTACGGCGGGCCAGCAACTAATGTTATCCCAGAGGCTTCCACAACCTGTGGGAAAAGAATAACACATATTTTACAACCTGCTTTTATTTTTTTATAAACAATGCAAGGCAGTGAATGTATCTAATATTCCTTCCCTGTCCTCTTTTACCCACCATAACAGCCCTGTGAGGTAGGTTGAGCTGAGAGTGAGAGATTGGCCCAAAGTCACCCAGTTGGCTTTTGTGTCTAGGGAAGGACTAGAACTCATTGTCTCCTGGTGATTGACCCAAAGTCCCCCAGTTGGCTTTTATGCCTAGGATGGGACTGGAAAATGGCCTTAGTGAAAAGCACAAGGAATAGAATAGAATAGAATAGAATAGAATAGAATAGAATAGAATAGAATAGAATAGAATAGAATCAAAATAGAGTAGAGTAGAGTATAGAGTAGAGTAGAATAGAATAGAAGAATAGAATAGAATAGAATAGAATAGAATAGAATAGGAATCAAAATAGAGTAGAGTAGAGTATAGAGTAGAGTAGAATAGAATAGAATAGAAGAATAGAATAGAATAGAATAGAAGAATAGAATAGAATAGAATAGAATAGAATAGAATAGAATAGAATAGAATAGAATAGAATAGAAGAATAGAATAGAATAGAATAGAATAGAATAGAATAGAATAGAATAGAATAGAATAGAATAGAATAGAGCAGTGGTTCTCCACCTTTCTAATGCAACCCCATAATACAGTTCCCCATGTTGTGGTGACCCCCAACCACTTATACATCATCAGGTGCCAGGGGTGTAGCCAAAGAAAAGGGGGAAAAAATGGCGGACAGCCTTGTTTGGCAACCCCCGTGAAATGGTCATTCGACCCCAAATGGGGTCCCGACCCACAGGTTGAGAACCACTGGAATAGAATAGAGCTGGAAGGGACCTTGGAGGTCTTCTAGTCCAGCCCCCCTGCTTAAGCTGGGGAACCTACACCATCTCAGACAGGTGATTGTCCAGTCTCTTCTTAAAAACCTCCAGTGATTTAGCACCCACAATTTGTGGAGGCAAGCAGTTCCACTGGTTAATTGTCCTCACTGTCAGGAAGTTTCTCCTTAATTCCAGGTTGCTTCCCTCTTTGGTCAGTTTCCATCCATCGTTTCTTGTCCTGCCTTTAGGTCAGTGGTTCTCAACCTTTCTAATGCCGTGACCCCATAATACAGTTCCCCATGTTGTGGTGACCCCCAAGTGGGTGTGGCCACCAATAAGAGGGAGTAGGACAGCTAAGGAAAAGGGGGGAAAAATGGCGGACAGCGTGGTTTGGCGACCCCCGTGAAATGGTCATTCGACCCCAAATGGGGTCCCGACCCACAGGTTGAGAACCACTGGTTTAGGCGCTTTGGGGAAGAGGTTGACCCCCTCTTCTTTGTGGCAGCCCGTCAAATACAAAGTTATGGGATTACATATAGTCCTCATCTTATAGCCTGCTGCTGAGTGACCATTAGAGGTTACAACAGTTTTCTTGCAGACGTTGCATGACCCAACTAGATAACATCATCAATGCTAGAAGCTATAAACCCCTTCCCTTCCTGGCCCCTCTTTTCTTTTCTTTTCATTTCTTTCTCCTTCCTTCCTTCCTCTCCTCCCACTTCTTTCCTTCCTTTTTCCTCCCTCCCTCCCACCTGAGCTTAGTTGTTTTCTTGCAGACATTTCATTACTAAACTAGATACGATTATGAGAGAGGGGGGGGGGAATGCCATTCCTTTCTAGCATTGATGATGTTACCTAGCTGAATTATGAAATATCTGCAAGAAAACAACTAACATCAAAGAGTATCAAGGAGTTCTCAATTTTTCTCCTCCTCCTCCTCCCCTTCCTCCTCCTCCTCCTCCTCCTCCTCCTCCTCCTCCTCCTCCTCCTCCAACCGCACTCCCTTCTAGCACTGATGATGTTACCTAGTTAGGTCATGAAATGTCTGTAGGAAAACCACCAAGTTCAGAGAGCACCAAGGATCCCACAGTCCTCCTCCTCCTCTCCACCAGCCCCATCCTTTTTACTACTGATGATGTTGCCTAGCTGGGTCATGAGACGTCTGCAAGGAAACCACCAAGCTCTGAGTGCACCAAGGACCCCACAGTTCAGCCCTCAGCTGCAAACTTTCTCCTCCAGAATCCTGTGAAAAAGCAGTTGAGCTATTTCTTATTTGGCCAAACTGCTCAGGCTGAAGTTGGAAGAACTGCGCTTTTTTTTTTTTTTTTTTTTTAAAAAAAAGAAGAAACATGCCGAGTCAGTATGACAAAGGGAAATGTGGGATACGAGCCCTGAATAGTGGATGAAATAGAGGTGGGCCTCAACTTACCACAATTCATTTGGTTCAAAGTTACAACAATATTGAAAAAAGTGACTTATGACCATTTTTCACACTTATGACCATTGCAGCAGTCCTATAGTCATATGATTTATATTTGGAAGCTTGACAACCGACTCATATCTATGATGGTCACAGTGTCCCCCCCGGGGTCACGTGATCCCCTTTTGTGATCTTCTGACAAGCAAAGTGAACGGGAAAGCCAACAACTGTGTTACTAACTTAACAACTGGAGGGATTCGCTTAACAACTGTGGCAAAGGAAGGTCGTAAAATGGAGCGAAATTCACTTAACAATCGTCTCACTTAGCAACAGAAATTGTGGACTGAATTGTGGTTGTAAGTCAAGGGCTTACAACATCTTGCAACATCTTTGGTGTGCCTGCCTTCCAGGTCCTAAGCTTTGCAGACCCTCCCCATGGAAGGTAAAAAAAAATAGTGGTATACTCTAAAGGGCAGGGAATGACTTGAGTTGTGACACACAACATGCTTCCTTGGGTCAAGTGAGGGCCAAGCAGCCTCACTGGCTAAATTTGGATTAGTGTGTGTTTGTACACTTTAGCCTATTTGGTCAGTTGTGATCCAGTTGGTTGAGCTAATCTTGAAAAATGAGCTCCTTCTGTCGCCATGTGTGTTATGTAAACACAACTGGAGGTTTTTCATTTTTGTTCAGTGATAACGTAGCCCAGAATAACCGGCTGGGTGGCGAGTCTGGAAATGAGAAATTTCTGAAAAGATCTCCAAATACTTTGGTTGCTCCAACACTGGGGGATCTTAAAGAAGAGACTGGAATGGTATAGAGTCTCCTGCTTGAGCAAGGGTTGGATTAGATGACCTCCAAGGTCCCTTCCAGCTCTGTTATTCTATTGTGGGTGCTCCATCAAGAGTCTACCACCTTAGGATCCCCATCACCTGTATGAGATCCCCACCATGGGATCAGTATGAAATCCCCATCACCAGTATGAGATCCACCCCATGGAATTTCTATCACTAGTATGAGATCCCCATCCTAAAAACTAGTATGAGATCCCCACCATCATTATGAGATCTCCACCACCAGTATGAGATCCCCATCACCAGTATGAGATCCTCACCATGAGATCCCCACCATCAATATAAGATCTCCACCACCAGTGTGAGATCCATATCATGGAATCCTCATCACCAGTATGAGATCCTCACCATGAGATCCCCACCATCAACATGAGATCTCCACCACGTATAAGATCCCCATCACGGGATCCCCATCACCAGTATGAGATCACCATCCTTGGTATGAGATCCCCATCAGGAGGTTCCCATCGTCAGTATGCGATCCCCACCATGAGATCACTGTCAGATCTCCATGGCTGAATCTCCACTGCTCCCAGATTGAGAGATTCTCACCGGACTCTTCCATTGGTGTTATTGACTCAACCAATCAAAGAAGGAATCTTCCAATTAGCACCCTTTTGCAGTAGATCCTCACCCCCAAAGACCGCCTCTAGATCTTTCCCTCAAAAGCTCCTGCCCAGTTCCATCCAAGCTTTTGGTGGTCTTAGATCAGGGGTCTCCGAACTGGGTAACTTCAAGACTTATGAACTTCAACTCCCAGAATTCCTCAGCCAGCCATGGGGAATCCTGGGAGTTGAAGTCCACAAGTCTTAAAGTTCCCAGTTTGGAATCCTCAGTCTCAAATTAAAAAAAAAAAAAAAAGATGCATTTCAACCAAAGTGAGAGGAACTCCCGGATTCTCTTTGCTCTTCTGTTAAGGAACAGCCACACAGATCTCTAAAGTTACTGGTAGTCCTTGATTTACGACCGCAATTGAGTCCAAAGTTTCTGTTGCTAAACAAGACAATCTGGCTTACCAATTGCCAGCTTTTGAGAACAGCCATTGCGGTAAATTTCAACCAAACTAGCTTGACCCACATCTCTACTTCCTGTGATGTGCGGTAGAGGTAGTCCTCGCTTTACAACTGTTCGTTTAGTGACGGTTCAAAGGTACAACAGCACAGAAAAAAGCGACTTATGACCGGTTCTTGCAGTTATATTCCTTGCAGTCAACTGATCAAAATTCAGACACTTGGCAACCAGCACTATTTATGACTCTTTCAGCATCCTGGGTTCATGTGATCACCGTTTGCGACCGTCCTAACCACGCAAAGTCCACGGGGGAAGTTGGAGTTGGTTAACAACCGCATGCTGAACTTACAACTGCAGTGATTGACTTAACAACCATGGCTGGAAAAAAAAAATCATAAAATCAGATGCGACTCACTTAGCGACCGACTTGGGAAATTCTGGTACCAATTGTGGTCGTTAAGTCGAGGACTCCCTGTGAATGAATAACATTCTTGTCTGAATTTTTCTCTGCTGAGATATTGATCGGTTTTGTGCTCTCTATCTCTGTTTGCTTACTGACTCAGCCTGCAAAATGTAAAATCCCAGGATAACTGACTCAGCCAAGCCAAATATTGAATTTTTTTAACTAAAGAAGCTCGAGAGAAAGCAATTTGCAGTCCCTGAGGTGAGTTTTTCTTTCTGAACTGTCAACTATTTTTATTACCGGGCTAAAAAAATAATAAACAAAACATTCATTTAGGGGGTGATCTAACCCACCAATTTTCCCTGCAGCAAATATTGGATTTTTGGAGGCAATTAACTGGGACAATATCTCGATTATCCAGACAATCAATACATTCCGAAATCTAGAAAATGCCTTTGG